TTGTGCACTGAAACAATCAAACAGGAAACATCTCCACCCCCCGCACACCTTCACCTAGATTCTAGATAGAACATGGTGTTTATTTCTGAGGTTATTTACTGAAGATAAATGTAAAACAGAAAACACAGATGGCTTGTATTGCAGGAGGTGCTGGAGTGTTTGTTGTGAACAATGGATTTTTTTTTTGCTGCACTCAGGCTAGTTCAAAATTAGAACAAAGTCACTGATGGTCTTTGGGAGAAAGGCCCCAAACAAATGGGAGGGCAGTTGGGGAATATTTGCACTGGTACAATGTTATATTTATTTAAAATTATATATATATGTATATATATATATATTGCTTTTGAACTACAAAGTATAGAAAGTAAGGCTTAATCATAATTTTTCAGCTGGGAGGTTATAGGTTAAAGAAAATGGAGAAACACTCGTTGTAAATGGATCTCCCTAAGACCCAGTCAGGGCGCTATCCTTGGCCAGCTAGGCTTTGTGTTATTCCCAGTCCGAAGTAAAGCTAAAAGGGTGCGTTTCTTAAAGTGTAATGTGTGTGGCAAGATAAAATGTAATAAAAACGGGTTTGAAATGTTTTGGAAATGGGGAGGAAGGTAAATGCGCCCAGGCGCCCAGCACCGTGTAAATCACCCTCTGCGCCCAAGTCTCAAACATTTATTATAGATGCCAGTCAACTGACTAGTCCCACTGTCACAGCTCCCTCCACCCCGCCTTCAAAGTAAACAAGGTCTGTCACTGTATAATGTCCTTTATCAGATAATATATTTATCTTTACATTCCACTGAAAAATGCACCCAGCTGGCATTTTTTTTCTTGGTATCTGGGGTTAACTTCCTGTTTTCACAGTATGTTGTCCCTGTTTTTCTACATAATAGAAAACCCTTCTTCTGACTTGAAAATTATCAACACATCATCAGACTTCTCCTGAATATAAGGCAGATATCGTATTTCATGACTATGCATTTGAGTATTATTTTGATCTTTTGATTACAACCTGAAAAACCTTCAGATCTCTGCTGAGATCAGTTTATTTTTTTAATCCAGAAATAGATATCAAATCTACTTTATTCATATCTCATTTGATTTTCTTTGACGTTAAAGTCTTCTAAAGTAACACTTCAGAATCTACTAGCAATAATAAGAATGCATCCCCCTTATTTGATGGAAAGTAATTAAATAATTTAAGGTCACCCAGCTCCCAGAGATAAGACCAGGATTTGAATCTTCTAATATGAGATTAGGAGTTTATCCAGGTTTGTTTATGGGCCATTTGATCAGGGCCGAACCCCAGGCTGACACTGGAGGGTACACTGGTGAATGAAATAGACATGGTTCCTGGCCTTGTGCAACTTGACATTTGGTGTCAGGGAGGACAATAGAGCAAGTAAATAAGCATTGAGTAATGATCAAAAGGATAATGAGAAACTGATAACTATCATGAAGGAAACTAATGGGGTGAAGTGACAGAATAACTGGATTGGGGGAAGATAGGCGGAGTTACTTAGGTCAAAGAAGACCTCTCTAGGAAGATGCATGTAGGCAGAGATCAGGGCGGGATCAGAGAGAAAGGGGGGCATGAGGAATGGGAGCAGTAAGTTTCAGGCAGAGGGAAACTGAGTTTTATGTGTAAGAGGTAAAGGGAGGCCTGGGCGGCTTCGGAGAGGTGAAGCAAAGACAAAGTAGTTCAAGGTGAGGTTGGAGAGGAAAACAGAGACCCCAGGTGAGCCAAAATGTGGAGGGCTTTAGAATTATACTCTTGAAAGGGCACTGGGAAACCCAGGAGAATTTTCCTGACCTGGTTTATGTTTTTAAAGATTATTTTGACTCTTACAGAAGAATGGAGTAAAGGCAAAAACATTTAACTTTTTTTTTAAATTACACTAAATTTGATTTTTTTTAAAAAAATCCCAGTTATGGTAAGTGTTGCCTATGGAAATATTAAGTAACAATTTAGGTAAGTTTACTAGGTGATTCTGATTGAGAAATAATTAACTACATCCTTTTTTATTATTATTATTAATTTCCGAGAGGAAGGGAGAGGGACAGAGAGAAACATCAATGATCAGCTGCCTCCTGCACACCCCCACCTGGGGATCAAGCTTGAGTGGAATCAAACCTGGGGCCCTTCAGCCTGCAAAGCTGATGCTCTATCCACTGAGCAAATGGTCAGCAAACTGCAGCCCCTTGAGTGTGGCTCTTCCACAAAATACCACACGCGGGCGCGCAGGTAAAGTGCGATTGAAACTTCGTGGCCACACTCAAGGGGCCAAAGAGCCGCACGTGGCTCGCGAGCCACAGTTTGCCGACCACTGCACTGAGCCAAACCAGTGAGGGCAACTACATCCTTTTGATTATTGTTATTGTGGAATTCTCCAAAGCTGCTAACTGAATATTCAGTACTTTACAAAGAAGAAAGTTCATCCCTGCTATAGAACCCTTCCTGTAGGTAGGCAAATAAAAATATAGGCCAGTGCAAAGAGTTAAAAATAAAACTTGTGCCAAACCGGTTTGGCTCAGTGGATAGAGGGTCATCCTGCGGACTGAAGGGTCCCAGGTTCAATTCCGGTCATGTACCTCGGTTGCGAGCACATCCCTACTGGGGGTCGTGCAGGAGGCAGCTGATCGATGTTTCTAACTCTATCCCTCTCCCTTCTTCTCTGTAAAAATTCAATAAAATATATATTTTTTAAAAAAGTAAAACTTGTCTTTCGGGACTCTGTAGTCAGTTTTAAACCTCTCTTCCCTTCCTCTCTCCCAATCCCTGGTATTACATACATCAACCCCAGCATCTCTCTTGTCACAGCCAGATCCGTGATTTTTTTTATATGACCAGTATTGAGAATCTTCTGAACTTCTCTAACATTCTGTAATGTTCTGGAAACAATGGGACCCAAAGGCTTCAGAATATCTCGGAAGTTTCTAACCAGATGTGTTTGTTTGGGGCTTGGGATAGGGGATGTATTCCAGGAAAATTTAAACACAGTTTAAAATCTCAACTCCACATTATCAGACATTAGAACTGGGAGGGGCCTCAGAGATCCACTAACCCATCGGTTCTCAACCTGTAGGTCGCGACCCTTTTGGCGGTTGAACAACCCTTTCACAGGGGTCGCCTAAGACCATCGGAAAATACATCTATAATTACATATTGTTTTTGTGATTAATCACTATGCTTTAATTATGTTCAATTTGTAACAATGAAACTGGGGGTCACACACATGAGGAACTGTATTAAAGGGTCACGGCATTAGGAAGGCTGAGAACCACTGCACTGACCCATCTCACTCATTGTACAAATGAGGCAACAGACTGAGAGGCAGAGCTCACCAAGCTGGTGGTGTCTGCTCTCAGGTGGAACTCAGACCTGCCTCTTGCAGAGTCTCGGGACCCCTCAAGAGCACTTCATGGACGTGGCCAGGTTGCTCAGTGGGTTAGAGCATTCCCTCATATGCCAAGGTTATGGGTTTGATCCCTGGTCAGGGCACATACAAGAGTCAACCAAATTGCCTTAACTGGTTTGGCTCAGTGGATAGAGCGTCAGCCTGCGGACTCAAGGGTCCCAGGTTCAATTCTGGTCAAGGGCATGTTGCAGGCACAACCCCAGTAGGCAGGAGGCAACTGATTGATGTTTCTAACTCTCTATCCCTCTCCCTTCCTCTCTGCAAAAAAAATCAATAAAATATATTTTTAAAAAAATCAACCAATGAATACATAAATAAGTGGAATAATGAATCAATGTTTCTTCCCCCCACCCCCACTCTCTTCCTCTTTCCAAGTTTAAAAAAAAAAAATGTCTGCACATGGCTAGTGAACAATAAATGTTTGTGCTTGACGGTGATGCTTGGAGCATTATAAAGTAGAAAGAAGTGTGGAATAATGTTACATGAGAGCAACTAGATTAAGGTGGGCCTTGGAAGTCAGGTAGCAAAATTTGATCAGTATACAAGATAGACTTGTTGAACCAGGGAATATATACATTACATAAATACCTGGGATATTGAAAAACAATATGGGTACCTCTGAAAGGAAAGATGAGGATAAACATGAACAAGTTGTACAAAATGTAATTTGTGACCAAGCATTCATGGTCCTTTATTAGCCAAATAGAGCATGACACATCTATACAATGGGGCGGCATGCAGCCATTAAAAAGAATGTGCTATCACTTCAAGGTACTATATGAAACAATTTCCACGTGTGAGTGTTAAATCGAAAAAGCAAGGAGCAGAACTAACACACCTGTGTATAAGGTTTCTAAAGAAGAGAGGCAGACATGTTTGTATTTACATAAACAAGCCATGGACAGATAGAAAAAAACACTGGGTTGGGGAGAGGGAGTGAAAAAAGACTTTTTCCTGTCCACTCTTTTGCCCCTTTTGTATTTCGTATGAGATGCACATATTGCCTATTCAAAAATAATTTTTAGAAATTTAAAAAAAATAAAAGCTCGGTTCCTTTTCAAAGGTGCTCACCCATTCATTTCATGGATCCTGGATCCTAATTTCACCTGTTTCAATCAACATGTAAACTTCACCTCTCCAGGCGCCCCTTAGTATAAGCACATGCACCTCTTCTCCCTTGCCTGCCCTCCCCAGCAATAACAAGTTAAAAGAGAGAGAGAGAGTGAGCTTCTCTGCTCCATGTAACCTTTTATCTACTTGGACTGCCTGCCTTCTGCTTTCCACATCTCTTACTCAAACTGCCTCCTATGGGACAGCAACATTTTCTTAAGTTGAGGAAGATGAAGAAAGTTTCTAAAAAGAAAACAAAAGCCCAAAGTTTGGCCAAGTGCCCTCTTTCAAGCTCCTGCCTGACTACCCACCTCCTCTGGGCTTAAAGGAGGTGTTGTTTGGCAAGAAGGGCACTTTTTGTCTCCAGTCTACACGGACGCAGGCTTTTTTCTCTTGTCACGTGCCTGGCTCAAGCCAGTGGGCTGCTGTGTAACGTGATCTCCAAGGCCAGCCTCCTGACCCACTCCAGTTACAAAACAGGGTTAGGCGACTGCAGCCGCCTGGGCAGGGGCTGAAGGGGAAGAGAAAGCAGCCCTGAGCTGTGGCCGGGACATTGGAGGAGCTGGGAAGCAGCCCACTGCAGAGGTGAGTGGGAACTGCTGGGGAGGGAAGTTCTTGCCAAAGTCAAGACCAGTCCAAGTTCATTTAAAGAAAAGGCAAGCCTGCCCTAGCCGGTAGCGCAGTGGATAGAGCGCCGGCCTGCAGATTGAAGGGTCCCAGGTTTGATTCCAGTCAAGGACACTGGCCCTGGTTGCAGGGCCCCCAGTAGGGGGCGTGCAGGAGGCAGCTAATCAGTGACTCTTCCTTGATGTTTCTTTCTCTCCCTTTCCCTTCCTCTCTGAAATCAATAAAAAGATTTTTTTTTTTTTTTTTTAAAGGAAGGAAAAGGCAAGCCCTGACCAGTGTGGCTCAGTTGGTTGGAGCGTCGTCCCATACACCAAAAAGGTTGCAGTTTCGATTCCTCGTTAGGGCATAAACCTAGGTTTCAGGTTCCATCCCGGTCGGGGTATATAGGGGAGGCAACCAATTGAGATCAATGATCTCTCATATCAATGTTTTTCTCTCTCTGTTTTTCTCTAAAAACCAATAAAAACATATCCTCAACTGAGAATTAGAAAAAAAAAAAAAAGGCAAAATACATTCTCACGTTTGATACCTCCTATCCTCTCCACTCAAGATCTGTGTCGGAACAATGTCCCAGAATGTTTTCTTCCCTCCTTCCTTCCTTCTTTATAATTAAATAATTTTTAAAATGTTTGAGGCAAGATTGGTTTATAACATTGTTTCAGGTGTGCAACATTATACTTCAACATCTGAATATACTGCATCATGCTCACCTCAAAAGTCAAGCTTCCAGCCATCACCATGCAGTTGACCCCCTTTCCATTTTGCCTTCCTCCAGCCCCTTCCCCTCGGGTAACCACCATCTGTTGTCTGCTTCTGTAGGTTTGCTTTTCGTTTGTTTTGTTGTTGTTTGCTCATTTGGTTTTGGTTTTATAGCCCACATATGAGTGAAATCATATGGTGTTTGTCTTTTCCTATCTGACTTCTTTTACTTAGTGTAATACTTTTAAGGTCCATCCATGTTGTCATAAATGGCAGGATTTCACCTTTTTATGGCTGAGTAATGGTATATAGACCACATTTGCTTATCTTTGGTTGTTGATGGGCACTTAAGTTATTTCCATATCTTTTACAAAAAATTTTAATTTATTGATTTGAGAGAGAGAGGAAATAGAGAGAGAAACATTGATATGTTGTTCCACTTACTTATGTATTCATTGGTTGATTCTTGTATGTGCCTGACCAGGGATCGAACTCACAAACTTGGTGTATGGAGACAACACTCTAAACAACTGAGCTAACCAGCCAGGGCTATTTCCATATCTTGACTATTGTAAATAATGCTGCAATGAGCATAGGTGTGTAAATATTGTTTCAAATTAGTATTTCATATTCTCCAGGTAAATACACAGAAGAGAAATAGCTGGGTCACATGGTAATTTGAGGCATCTTCATACTGTTTTCCATAGCGGCTGCACTAATTTACAATCCCACCAGCAGTGCACAAGCGTTCTCTGTTCTCTGCATCGTCAACAGCATTTGTTATTTCTTGTCTCTTTGATGATAGCCATTCCAACAGGTGTGCAGTGATTCTCATTGTGGTTTTGATTTACATTTCCCTAGTAATTAATGATGTTGAACATCTTTTCATGTGCCTGTTAGCTATCTGTATGTCTTCTTTGCAAAAGTGCCTATTCAGGTCCCTTACCCTTTTTTTAAATACTTTTTTATTGATTTCAGAGAGGATGGGAGAGAGAGAGAGAAACATCAATGATGAGAGAGAATCATTGATTGGCTTCTTCCTGCATGCCCCCTACTGGGGATCAAGCCCGCAACCCAGGCATGTGCCCTTGACTGGAATTGAACCCAGGACCCTTCAGTCTGCAAGCTGACGCCCTATCCACTGATAGAGCTCCTAGCCCATTTTTTTGATTGGGTTTTTTGGTTGTTGTTGTTGTTGAGATGTTTGAATTCTTATATATTTTGATATTAACTGCTTATCAGGTATATGATTTGCAAATATCTTTTCCCATTCGTAGGCTGCCTTTTCAATTTGTTGGTGGTTTCCTTTGCTGTACAAGCGCTTTTTAGTTTGATGTAGTCCCATTTGTTTATTTTTGCTTTTGTTTCCCTTGCCATTGGAATTAAATCCACAAAATCATCGCTAAGTGATGTCCAGCAACTTAGCATCTGTTTTCTTGCATGTGTTTTATGGTTTCAGGTGTGACATTCAAGGCTTTAATCCATTTTGAGTTAATTTTTGAGGATGGCTGAAAGGCAGTCGTCTAGTTTCATTCTGCATGTGGCTCTTGGGACATTTGCTTAGTGCTAATGTCTGCGTCCTCTGCCTCTATTTGTACCATCTACCTCTTCTGTAGTCTTGTTTTGACAGCAACCGACAGGTAATCCTGTCTTACGGATTTGGGTTTGGCTTCTAGACCATGTTTAGGAGAAACTCCCAAGTCAGAACTCAAAAGAGGAAAATCTAACTGGAAGAGACTGGCAGGAAGCAACTGCGGTCGAATTGCTCCTCTCTAACCTGCCAGAGTCACCCAGAGGGACGGGGCCGATGACAACAGTCTTAAAATCTAAAGGCCCAACCATATCAAAGCTGTTTTGATGCTACATACTGAAATTCATCAATGGCTTGGTTTTAGAATTGCTAGTGGCCTGGTAGGACTAGGGCAGGCACTACCTGTCTGTGCTCTTCCAAGAACACATCCAGCCAGACAAAGTGTTCAGGAAGCCTGGCTTTTGCCAGAAACCATGGGCAGTCAGAACAGGTCAGTTCTGTTATCGAGGCTTAACACGGTTTCTGAATGAGAGGACTATGGTTAGTGTGTAGGCGGGAGTGAACAGCAGGCCCGGGATTTCAGGGTTCTCTTCCAGGCCTTTGGGACTTGGCAAGCAAGACAAGAGAGACAAGACGCCGGCCTGTGGGCTGCCTCAGTTTCGTGTGCGATTCCAACCAAATGTCTCTGGTTGGGATAGGAAGGTGCAATTCAGTTTGGTAAAACAGAAATGCTCTGAGCAGCAACTTCTGACCTTAGGAAGGAAAATCATGAGTACAGGGAAAGGTCCTGAGATGTCCAATAGCAAATGTTGGACACCTTCTGACTGCAAAGAAGCAATGCTTTTCATTCATTTCTCCTTCTTTTATTTATTCAACACCTACTTCCCGGGTACGTGCTACTGGCCACGCCTGTGCTTGGTGCTGAGGATACAGTAAACATGACAGGCAGGCGTTCAGCCTCCCGGCCGCGCAGTCGGTGGCAGTAATGGCTAAAACTGTCCAGAGGGAGTTGTTTTGTCTCAGAATTTGGACTTTCCCTTCAGGCATTTCATCATCTTGAATGAATATCTTTTTCCTTAAAAGCCTCGCTTAGGCCCAGACCATGGTTACAGCAGCTCCTGAAAACCCTCTTCACCAGAGGCTGTAAGCGGTGTAATCGCATTTCAGGTCAGTCTCAGCCCTGGAAGCCCATTGCTGGGCTTGTTCTAAGAATGCAAACAGCCACCTGGACCGGTTTGGCTCAGTGGATAGAGCGTCGCCCTGCGGACTGAAGGGCCCCAGGTTCGATTCTGGTCAAGGGCATGTACCTTGGTTGCGGGCACATCCCCAGTAGGTGGTGTGCAGGAGGCAGCTGATCGATGTTTCTCTCTCATCTTTGTTTCTAACTCTCTGTCCCTCTCCCTTCCTCTCTGTGAAAAATCAATAAAATAAATTTTAAAAAAATGCAAACAGCCTAAAATAATGCCAGGAGTCCCAGTCCCCATGTCAGCAGCCCTCCCCCTGTGTCATCTCCCTCTTACGAAACACAAATGTGTGTTATTCCAAAATCACATGTAGCACTACGCAAAGCGTGTGGAGGCCTGCATTTTGCCAGGAACTGTGAAGTTCCCAACAAGTCAGTTCTGCTGTGTGGGTCTATCTCCTTAGCTACAGAAAGGTGATCCACGAGGTCTTTTCTCTCTCTCTGTTTCCTCTAAGGTAAATAATTGTAATAATTTCACAAGATGTACACAAGAAACCTTGCACTTTCACATAGATATAACAAATCTCAATACTTATGAAATGGGAACCGTTATTAACCATGCAGAATATCAGGAACAATCAGGAATATCTGGAAGAATCAGGACAAAACTACACTCTCTCTACTCCTCCCACCCTCACCCCATCCCTGCCCTGTGTTCAGATCCCTCAGGTCACGGACATCAGTTGCAGCCTCACTGTGTCCTTTATCTAGATTGGGGGATTCTGCAGTAAAAAGCTTGCACAGTCAGAATCATCTGCTTTTGAAAGAAACACACTAAAAAGTACCTAATTTGGATAATCTCACAATACATATCCAATTCCCTTTAAGAAGGAATCAATTCATGGTTATAGAGTATCAGAATACTTATTTTTAGTGCATTTCATTTCTTTCTCTTCCCTGAATGAATTCTCATTATAAATCCTATTTCATAATCTCCTCCGATATATTTATCACTTGGAAAATCTAGGTTATATAGTGTTACTTTATTAAATAGGGCACAAAGCACGTCTTCTTTATCTTTGTATCTCCTGTGCCTAGCATTGTAGCTAGCTCACAATAAATGATTCTTAAAAGGATGGTTAATATTTTAGAGAAACATGGTCTATTTTCCCTTTGGTATTAAAGACACACAATATCTAATACACTGTTCATGGCTAAGAGGGGCTGATCTCATTCCTTTGTGTCCCTTTAAAATCCTGATGCCTACCTCACATTCACTCACATCAGCACTTTGTATACTTTTTGCAGACTCCGTCGGTATAATGAGCACTGGATCTAAATAACTGTGATCTGAAGTTGAATGCTGAATATCTCGAGGCCTCCTTTTCTTCAGATGGAAAATGGGGGCATTAGAATAAATGAGCTTAAGACAACTTCTAGTTCTTAGATGAGGGAATCTGAAAGAATTTAAAAAGTAGAGAAAAAGTCAGAGAGGACACAATAAAAATGTGATTATAGTACCTTAACATACTAAATATTTAATAATTGTTGTTGATTTCGTTTTCCAAAGTTTCTAACTTGAGCACTACCAGGGGCCAACAATATTAAGGAACTTCTCTGTCCGCTGTGAGGTCTCCCCTAGAATCTTTCTGACTGACTCTCTTCACTTAAAACTGAAAACATGTCTGCAGACAGGTAGGGAGGTACGGAAACCAAGCTGCCTCGGCATAAAATATTCAGCAGAATGACAGGACTGAGTAGCTCAGAGAGTCTCCGACCTAGCTAAGGTTCTTGGGAGAGAGCCTGTGGGCTATTGGCTTTGCCAGAGAACAAATGTCAGGTTAGGAAATACTCTGGCTGCCTTCTGATGGTATCAGATGCCAAGAGATAATCGCCGTGACTCCTCCGACCAAGTGGGCCTTCCACCATCCGAAGATAAGCAGTCACTTTCCCTCTGGCCAGGAGGTTTGGGCGGAGCAGAGGGTTCCAAGGTCAAATTGATATCTTAGCCCCTCATCACTCCATCTCAGCAACACTCAGTTTTCATAACATGGACTTGACAAACATCCACGCCCTGCCCTGTGACATCAACCAGAGCTGCGGCCGCCTCCTCCCAGGGTGAAGGTCTTGGTGTACTTGCACCATTCTAGTCTCTCTTAGGTTTTGTTCTTAATTTTAATATGTGGTCCTGTTTATTTATACTTACTCCTCAGCTTCTGTTTCAGAAGTCCATTTCAAAAGAAGTGATAGCTTACAATAAAAGCTAATATATATCAGAACTGCAAATAAATAAAAACTGGAAACCATCAGGCACTCAATAACTACCTTTCATATTGCTCTGAGGGGGGTGGAAAGGCGTTGGGTTCCATAGAGAAAAGAACCAGTTGCTTTGCTGCTAATGCTTTGCTTTCAGACAACTTAAAATTGTTAACAAAAAGAAGGCGGGAGGAGGGGAAGAGGGAAAAGGAGGGGGAGGGGAAGGAATAGAAGGAAGAAGGAGAAAACAATTGCATGGCTCTTAATCATCATAGTTACCTTCCACAATCTAATGAAAGCCGTGGATCCTTCCACCCTGAAAAATGAGCACAGAAAAGCTGGCATACAATTTCAAGGGAGACAAAGACTTCTCAACGCCCTTCAGGAATTGAAAGTAATCTTGATTTAGAGTAAAGGGAGCGCAAATTACTGTACGACTCTTCAGTAAAATGTTTCCTATGAGTGGGCACTAAATTCGTTTAAAAATGTTTAAATGTTTCCGTAATTTTCTGAACAGGTAAAATATACTCATGGCACAGAATTCAAAATGGTAAAAAGATAGGCTTGCTTCTGCCCATCCCTCAGCTGCCCAGTTCGCCTCACCAGAAGCCACCATTGTTCTTCCAGTGCTAGTCTAATATTACGTGTATTATTTTATACGGACATAAACAGCATACAAATACACTCATGCACGGTTGCATATGTTCCACACATTGCTTTTTTCACTTAATATTTCTGAAGAGCCCACACAAAACTGCCTTATTTCTTCCATGGCTGCAGAATGTATCATTACTGGATTTATTTAACCAATCCTCTCTTGACGGAAGCTGAGGAGTAAGTTTCCAATCTCTAGCCATTAAAAACAATTTCACAATGAACACCTTGCACATATATATTTATATAATCTATAATAATAAAAGCATAATGTGCTAATTAGACCGGACGTCCTTCCTGACGACCTTCTGGACGAAGCCAGGGCTACGAGGGAAGCCTGGGTCCTGAGTGCCACAGGGAAGCTGGTGCCAGCAGCCGAGGAAAGGAAGGCCTACTTTTGCACGCATTTTGTGCATCAGGACTATAAATAGAAAAAAAAATCTGAAGAAGTATAATTGAGCATTAAATTTAACTCTGAGCTCTCTGGCAGCCAAAGCAAAACAGGTTGATGGGGGGTTTTGGCCAGGTGGCTCAGTTGATTAGTGTCATCCCAATATGCCAAGGTTGGGGGTTTGATCCAATGCCAGGGCACATACAAGAAGCAACCAGTGAATGCATAAATAAGCAGAACAACAAATCAATGTTTCTCTCTCTCCCTCATTAAAAAAAGGGGGGGGGGTGTTGGTGGAGTACTACCTATTTCTTTTTTCATTCCACAAGAAAGCATACCACTTCTTCCAAAGAGAAAAACTTACGTGCACTAGTTTCTTTGGGGGAACTAAATAATGGAATAAGGACGATCTTCCATTGCAGTTTTTATATTCATATGGCAGATTCTACATCTACCTTGCTTTAAAAAGAAAAAAAAAAGTATGGTCTAAAACCCAATCTGGGAGGGAAAGGGTCAGTGTTGAGATTTGAAACCATGTCTCCCAGAGCACGGAGAAAGCCTGAATGTGGCCCTTTTTAAAGATTCCTGAGGTGTGCCGGGTCTCCTGCCCTACTCAGCATTTCCTCAGCGGCGGCCCAGACCTTGAGCCCAGTGCTTTCATATGGACATTGGAATGATGGGTTGATGCATCTAGATAGGGGCTCCAGGGCTCCTTGCAGAGTAAATGCTCCATAAATCATCTCAGAAGGATTAGAGGAGCTTCTACAAGATCAAAGGTCATGTCTTAGTTGTTTCGCAAGCTCTTATCGAAGATAGTGGTGATAAGACGCTGGGAAAAGGCTAGGAATGAGTCTGACTTGTAAGTGAAGTTCCCATGGCGTGGCATAGCCAGGAGAGTCCTGGAAGCTTAAGACAGACAGACAGACAATCTCCTCAGCTTCCTGCCCAAACAGGATGCTCACCTCAACAGGATCAACAGAGCCGTTCCCACTCCCAGAAGCCCCGAGGGCGAAACCACGTGGAGTGAACGTTCTACCTGCAGGTGGTTTGCACACGTTCCTTCTCCATGTCTCTTCCAACTTGGTGTTTCCTTTAATATTTACGAACTTATTATGAAGACATCTGACAGGCTTATCCCCACAGGTGCCTAGCACTGCCTTCCTCATGCCTACTGGTCTGTGCTTCGGGGGCCCCAGGCAGCAGGCAGACGGCAGGATTGAAAGTGATCTGCCTCCCTCATCCCAGAATCCTGTCACTGCACAAAGTGTGGCTTGTCTGAATGGGGCCTTGTCCACCGGGACGATGTGGGCCAGACTCTGGACCGGGCCAACCGGAAGTGCCCTGGACAGTGGAGGTGGAGAAAAATCGTTATTCAAAGGAGACTTCTTACCCAGCCATTAGGGCTCAGTGGTTGTCAACCTCAGAACCAGAGGGAGAGAGAGAGAGAAACCTCAATGATGAGAGAGAATCATTGATCAGCTGCCCCTGCACACCCCATACCGGGGATCGAGCCCACAACCAGGGCATGTGCCCTGACCAGGAACTGACCTGGCAACTTCTCGGTGCCCAGGACAATCAACGCCCAGCCAACTGAGCCACACTGGCCAGGGCTCTTTCGTTAGTTTTCATGAGAACCCACAGGGAGGCAGAACTCCACAGCTACAAGCCACAACAGGTTCCCCTGCTCTCTTCCAGGCCACAGAGGGAGCTGGAGGAGGGAGCAAAGGCAGGCCCAGGTGGGGCTGGGTTGGGGTGGGGGGCTCAGGTGGGAGTTGGGCCAACAATGGCCAAACATTCAGGTGCCTTTTCTTAAATCAGATGCTATCTCCCTGGCTGGGCATCACCGTCCCAGCACTTCTCCCTGACAGGCTTCTCTCTGAGCTGCCTGCATCCCTCCTGCCAGCCTGTGTTCACCGTGGAGACGGTGAGAGCCTGCCTGGCACCTCCTCTGCTGTCCTAACTTTATAAGTCGCCATTCTCTCTTCCTTCCTGCCACCTAAGTAACATAAGAAATGTGGATCAAGGGAAGCGGTTTCCTGAGGTCCTAGCTGGTGAACATGCATCTAGGACAGTGGTTCTCAACCTTCCTGATGCCGCAACCCTTTAATACAGTTGCTCATGTTGTGGTGATCCCCAACCATAAAATTATTTTCATTGCTACTTCATAACTGTAATTTTGCTACTGTTATGAATCGTAATGTAAATATCTGATATGCAGGATGGTCTTAGGCGACCCTGTGAAAGGGTCGTTTGACCCCCAAAGGGGTCCCGACCCACAGGTTGAGAACCGCTGATCTAGGATCATAAAACCAGGTACCATCATCAAACACGGAAGAATGAAATGTCCTTAGAGATATGGGAAGCAGGACCCCGATCTTGGCTTTGCCATCTGTAAACTCTTGAGAGGTCCCCTAGCCTCCTCTGATGAGGTTCCTTCATCCTGGTCACATGGTGGGACCAGGTGATCACTCATGCGCCTCTTCAACCAGGTTATGACACTATTCAATAGGGACAATGACAAGTGTTGTGAGGCCCTGACCAGGTGGCTCAGGCGTTGGGAGAGTCTTCCGGTACACCTAAAGGTGGTGGGTTCAATCCCCGGTCAGGGTGCATATGGATGCTTCTCTCTCACATCTCGCAGCAGAGATCACATGGCTGAAAGACACTGGTGTTATTCCCATTTTATAGCTAAGGACAGAGATTTCTTCTGGACGAGAGAGAGTCATACTGAGGCAGAGAGTGAAGCTACTCAAAAAGAAGGATTTGTCACAGCCCGTATCTGAGAAAGCCTATTCCAGGCAAAGTCCCATTGGCAACCCCCTGATTCACATTACTGGTGCCCAGAGCAACCTTGTAAAACTTTTTTTTAACATTGATTTTAGAGAGAGAGGAATGATGGAGAGAGAGAGACATCAATTTGTTGTTCTGCTTATTTATGCATTCATTGTTTAATTCTTGTATGTGCCCTGACTAGTTATCCAACCACACCTTGGCTTATTGGGACGGTGTTCTAACCAACTGAGCTACCCGCCCAAAGCCCAGAGCAACTTTTTAAAACTCCCCAGGTGATTTTAATGAGTGGCCAGCACTAAAAATCACCGCTAGCCATTCCCCTGACTTTTCCGTTCCCTGCTTCCTTGGCCGCACGTGAAATGACATCCAGGCCCACCTGTGTTTTCTTATTGCAGATGAAGGGGGAAGCTGGACGTCAGCGCCATGACGAGAAGCCGAAGCAGGTAAACGCCAGCACCCACCCACCACACTGGGGAGGAAGCAGCCAGGGGCCCTCTCCATCCCCGCACTTGCTCATATCTGAGGTCTCCCGAGGTTTAGGGGGAACTGACACATGGCCGTGAGCTAATTTCAGTAGCTGAGCCAAGAGCAAGCACTTGACTGCAAGCTTCCTTATAAGCAAAGCCCCTTTGCCTGCCCGAGGGAACAGCCAGCCCCATAGCTGCCCTCCCGTTGTCTCTTGGCCCTTAGAATGTCCCATG